CGGAAAATTAATTAACACACGGAGACGTAACAATTCTATACAAAATATGTATAATATTTTTTCAACTCAACTCGTAAACCAAACACACACACATTGTTATAACCAAATAATTAACCTAGTATCTTAGGCCCTCACAAAGGCCTTGGTAAGAAAATCTTCGTACAACATTTGACGTTATTAAGGTGAGATACAATAGGCAAGAGTCAAAAGAAATCGGATACCACTGTTTGTTGATACAGATGTTAGGAGATTGTGTTTCTGAAGCCATATTTATAGTCAGAGAGTCGAGGTTCTGAAGACATATACATGTTATTATTACTCACTTAATTTAGTGAAACAAGTTAACTAAAATAATTTACAAGCCTGGAGATTAGAGTGCTGGACTGTGAATCCGGTGATCCTTGGCTTGAGTACCATTGCCACAAAATTAAATTAAGAACGGTTAGCGTAGTTAGTTTCTTCTTTTTTATTTTTTGTTGTTGTTGTAAATTTGCACGAATATCCAAAACAAATAAGAAAAAGCAAAAAAATTAAAAATCCTTATAGGTTTAAAGTGTGCTATGTTTCACGGGCTTTTGATAATGCCTTCATTATTGTTATGAACATCTCTATATCTTTGTTTCAGTTAAGGAATTTGTAGTTTTGAACAAAACGTATTGTGTGCTTTTTCAGTAAGTGGAAAATATTTTGATTCTATTACAAACGCGTGCTGTTCAACATATTGTGGCACGAGCTAAGTAATTAAAGTTGCCCAGTTTTTTCCAACTAAACCTATAGAATACATAATAAACTGAGAAACAACTCATAAGACAAACATTTTGGTCTAAAATGGAAGAACTGAGGATTTCAGTTTTGAAAGTGAAATGCTAATAATATATTTCTAAATTAACTACAGTAGGTGTATAAATGCTGTAATGTATGTAAAATATAAATAATTGTTCAATGTATTTTAAGTTCAGAAATATTTTAATTTTTTGTCAATAATCCATGTATTATGATAATAATAATACTGATTTTTTCTTCTTCCAGTAACATTTGGTATGATGAGCCCCAAAATGTATTATCATACAAAAGTCATCAGCGAACTTTTTTTAGATTCGCGTTTCAATGATACCCTGAATAACGTTAGAGGATCAACTCAAGTTATTGATTTCTGGCGGGTAAGAAGCATTCATCTATTAATTTTTCTTTAACATTTTCTGGTTGTATTATCAAGTGTTTTCCGCAGTTTGCATTCTAATGTAAATCTACGCGCCGTAAACTAGTTCCAAACTGCAGAAGCGCGGCAGTATCCTAGTTTAAGATAATTATAACAGCTAATATTTACGGAAACTCAGTTATAAAATGAAGTTTTATTTTGTTTTTTAAAAGAGAGAATCTGACTGACATTCGTCTTTATACTAATTACCCGTCATCTCATCGCATATGTGAAAAGTTAATCTTGTAATTTGTAAAAGAAAGAAAGAAATTGTCGGGAATGATGTTATGAAACTGTTAAAAGTCGAAATGTTCAGTGTGATTATTGCTTCCTAATTGTTAGAAAACATGCTGTAAGTCATGGTGACACGTGAGACAGTGAAATAAAACATTTATTAACCAACACATATGCGCTAGTGTTTCGTCGGACTAAAATAAATGCAATTTTGTCATAGATTTATAAACTTATTACTCGCACAGTGAGTTTAGAAATACGAAATGGACTATTCACTGTATATTGAAAGTGTATATTCACGTAAGTCCCCAGTTGAACTCTGCTAGAAAGTTTTAATAATAGCATAAACGGTATATATTGGTAAAATGTAAAAGAAATAGGAAAAAAAAAAGTCATCAAACCTAAGTTTTGATAATGTATGCATTTGAGTCATTTTCAGATGGATTTCACTTAACAAAATTTAATATGGCGTGACTCGTAAATGTTTCTAAAATACTTTTATTTAATACATTTTTCTGTATGTGAAGGCTACGCATCACACAGTCATTGGGTTATTTCTATCAACATATCTTATAGTTTGTGGACTACGTAATGCTGGATAATATGTATTGGCAAAACTGGTATAGTAGTAATGCAGCTAGTTCTCTGGATCGCAACATTTTGTACGAGAATCGACTTTTGGGTTCCCCTCGACTCAGACAGTTACGAGTGAGAAATGACTCGTGCGATGTTCACGAAGACTTCACATCAGCGATTTCCTCGTGCTATAATTCGTACTCTCGTGAAACCGAGGACATGAAACCCTTTGGTTTGATGAATGGAACAGCGTAAGTTGAGCTGCAGTAATTTTTCGTTAGCAAGTTAACCTTACAAGAAATCATGTGTAACACTACATTCAAGAACAGGACATAATCGTAAAGATGTGGCGATATAGTAATACGATACTTGTATCGTATTGTGAAGCCGTGATACGATTGTATTGATACTGTGTCCGAGTATGATACGATACTTAATGTTTTTTGATAAAAGAAATGAAGCCAACATGTAGTACTCAAAACTCATCTTCCTTTATTGAATCATTAATTTTTAGCAAAAATACTTTATTAGAAATTCTGATTCTTTTTATGTACAAAATACTTATAATGTTTAGCGAAAGCTCGCCAAATTTCGTGAAAATACATAAACAAAGTAACATAAATTAACAACAACAAAATAGATAGACTGATATTAACTTTTTTGTTATTTTACTTCTCTTGCCAGCCGCCATTTAGTTGATCAAAACTGAGAATCTGAAAAAGTACAGTAAAGTGTAAAATATTTAAATAAAACAATGTTAGTAATATGTATAATAACGTACAGACAAGACTGTCAAACTTTGTAACAAACTGTTGGTTAAACTTCGGTATCCATATACATATCGTATGGCGGCATCAATATCTAGATAGGAATCGTATCGACTATTATGATGAGATACGCACCCCTTAATTATTAGTATGTTTAGATATTGTATTCAGGCCATAATGCATTTGAATTCAGATCTTTAAATGGATATTTGTAGAGCAGTGCTAATATATATTCAGTATGTGTTTTGTTTAACATAAAGAAATAATTTGCAATCCTTATTATGTAATTAGAGATTTTATTAAGTAGAAACCCGCATATTTGAATGTAAGTTTATTTTGACTGTTCAGTTGTAAACTATAAGTTATTTAGAAACTTATCATGGATAGGAATGTTTCATTTATTTCATGCTCTCAATGCATTAGGACATACGACTTAAAAATAAAACTTAAAATGTACATTTGTAATTGAGAAAATAATAAACCACAAAGTTTTCGACGACATTCAAAACCTTTATTTTATGTATCCATTTACCTCTGAATATTTTTCAATTTTATTTTCTTAACTTTAAAAATTTATACAAAATTCATGCTATAAATTTAACTAAACACTTTAACTATACAAATAAAAATAAAAACTGGTATATTATAGGATGTAAAGAAAAATAATTTAGTTAAGAGTGTAACCAAAGAACAAAAAGTTTCTTTAAAAATGAATTGTTCTACTGTTTAAGAGTTTTTGGGAAGTTTGTTGTGTTTTTTGTACATTGATACATTTTAATTTCTTATGTTATGAGTATGTTATTGTTTATTTATTTTTCTAATTTATTTAAGTAGCTTATAAAAAATTTTGATGTGCAAACATTTAGAAGCTGTATGCAAAACTTTTTGCAAGCAAAATATATTAGCTTAACTTGAGAGAGTTCTCTGAGTTGTTGAGGGTTTTTTTTTCTTAACCAGATGGCAATATTTCTCAGAAGAACAGTTAAATGGATCCAGCCACTGGGGAAGACTTGCCACTTATAGTGGGGCTGGATCATATGTAAACTTAGGGACAACTAAGAAAGCTGCAAAAGAAATCATGGATATATTAAGAAAGAACTTGTGGCTTAGCAGAGCAACAAGAGTAGTGTTCTTGGACTTTACTGTTTATAATGCAAATATCAATCTCTTTTGTGTTGCAAGGTATGCCATTTATTTTAATTTTACCTGTAAATTAAAAGTATCAGAAACTTTTATGTAAACTTACAGATTTGGAAAGAGGCAACAGTAATGTTTGAAGAAAATGTTACATGGAATATCATTATTATGATGTAGAAATAGTTATTGTTTTACCTTGAGCTATAAGACCATTTATGAAAGAATAACTACTGTGTTTTGTGACTGAAGAATCAAAATAAAATTTGCAAAACAACAGACCAATATTATGCTGAAACAGTATTTACCTAGGTATGTATTTTGTGTTATTTTAACAGGATAATGTTCCTGCCTTAAATCATTAGAGATCCATGCATAATTTTAAAGTAACTAGTATATTTTCTAGGGAATACTGTTCAAAACTTTTTTGAGGTTTTAATGGTTTCATACTATATTTCCAAAGAAAGAGACCTTAAATATTTAAAACATTAGGTATTATATGACTTTTTTTGTTCGTATTTTTTATCTGTTATAGCTTACGTAACAGCTGTTTTAAATGTTTTATGATCATTATATACAATACTGGTTGAGGGAATTATGTGTGAATGTCTTTGACAGATATAGCTAATATGTAAAAATGTTTTAAATGTATTTCAGTTCATGTATGAAAAAAATTAATGATGTACAATTTCGAATTTAGAGCTTTTGTTTTAAAAAAAACAGGATTGTATTTGAGTTTCCACCCACTGGAGGGATGATACCATCCTGGACTTTCCGTACAGTTAAGCTGTTACGTTATGTTCTCCCCTTTGACTATTTTATTATGGGCTGTGAGATCATGTACTTTTTTTTTATTGTCTACTACATTATAGAGGAAGCTATTGAGGTAAATTTTAATTGTGTTTTTTCTAATAATTCTTGATGCAATTATTCATTGATCTAGTAAAGTGTGTAATACATTTGTTAAAAATGGTGCAGATATTTTTATTTGTTACTTTGGTATTAACTCTGCTTTAAAAATTAAGATGCTATTTCATAAAATAAGTGGATAAAAAGTCATACTACGTTAATGAAGTATCTTAAACTAGCTAGTAGATGGAAGTACTTGCTTTTATGAAATGTCCCATTTTTATCCTATTGTCTATATGAAAAACCAACACAGATACATTTTTAACTGATTTCTTTGTATTAGAAGACAGATTTCAAAAACTGCTTTTTTTACTTCTTGTCAGTTAGAATTTGATTTGTGACCAGGTGATGTTCTCACTTTAATATCCCTTACTTGTTGATTAATTCATAGGTTGCATTTAATGTGTCCAGTTCAAGTTATAAAATTACTACATAAGAAGAAGGTGCAATTAATGTTTGGGAGTTAACTCCCAAGCCAATAGGGGACAAATGCTTGTGCAAGAAGTATAAGGTTTTATGCCTTTTTGTATGTGTTTTAATATTTTACAAATTTGAACCAAAGTTATAGATTTTGTGAGATAATTTAATGATGATTTTCTAAATACAGAGTAAAACTGTGATGCAGAAGTGATAACTAATTAATCCATAAGTAGTAAATGTATATTGTACAGTCTTTCCTCCCATTTTTTTTTCTGTGAATAGCAGAATTAATTACTCATACTTAGTTGCTAGCACCAGTCTCTCATTTATAATTTGCATGTATAATTCAAGAGCAATTAAAATATATTCTGACTAAAAATAGCTTGCAAGAAAATATTTTATAATGAACTTTATTTCAAAACTATTTGAAAACCAAAATCTGATCTAATATTGTTGACCATTGAGTATATGATCAAAATATAATGTATTTTAGTTTTCAGTCTTGAAATCACAATGATATATTTCAAGTTAAAAAAAAAGATATATCAATCAAAAACTACGAAGATTAAAAGCCTTTTATAAAAGACTAAAAAATGAAGTTTATAAAATGCTAATGAACTATAACTTACCACTTAGAAAAAAGTGATTTATGCTGGATTTCAAAGTAACGGTAATTCTATCTAATCTAATATATATTAATCATATAGCATGAAACTAATATAAAATCACACTGTTATAAACTGATTATTAAACATTTCTTTTATTTTTTAGATCAACAAGAATAAGTGGAAATACTTCAAGTCAATTTGGAATGTTTTGGATATCATAGTAATTGTGGTCAGTAGATTTTCTAAAGATAACTAATTTTAATCTCTAAAACTCATGTTTCTTTGAAAAAAACAACAACATTCTTTACTGTACTCACCTTGCTGGGAATTAGTTTAAGTTAGATAATTTGTGTAGCTATAAAATAAATTTGTAATTATATATTTTAATAATGTAATAATATTCTAGAAAGTGTTGTACCTCAATTATAATGTCTTGTAAATGGGAAACTTACCAATTTTCAAAGGATGTAACTTTTACACTCATTAGTACATACATTTATTTATACTATTACATATATATTTATTAAGTTGTGACTAGCTCTTGTACTCAAAATTTAACACTGTATAGTTGTACCTTTCGGTTATGGTATTTTATTGTGAATATGTCATAATACATATCTGTTAATATAACAATTGCAAAAGTGAAGAAAAAATATGGATTTAACCAATAATTTTACATTTCAATGAGAGGTAGCTGTAAGTTAAAATTTTACAGCATACAGTATTGAATATATTTGTATGTTAAAAATATACTTGTTGTTCTAAATATTACTAGGTATCGCTTGTGTGCATAGCCTTCAGTGTTTACCGAACCCTCACAGTGGACACAGTGTTGGAAAGTTTGTTAAGCAAACCAGATGACTTTGCAGACTTTGAGTTCCTAGGATTTTGGCAAACACAGTTCAACAATGCTGTAGCTTTTGCCATCTTTTTTGTATGGATAAAGATTTTCAAGTACATTAGTTTTAACAAAACCATGACACAACTTTCGTCAACTTTGTCACGGGTTAGTTTTGAAAAAAATTAAGTTTATTTTTCTTTTTGCTGTTTTTTTCATTGAGAGTTAATAAGAAAAATATGTGGCATGTGTGCAGTATTTTAAGTTATGGTGTGATGATTTACTTACCTTTTGTGTTTTTTAGCATGAATTAAGTAAAGCAATCAAAATTGTATTTAAAAATCTTAAAAAATATAAATTCATAAAATTTACAAGCTTTCATTATAGTATCAGTAATACAGAGTTATTTAGAGAATGCTGTGACAACTTAAAGCTTAGATACAATTTTTCTGTTGCTGCTGTAGTATTTCCAGTTAAAATCTGAGTTCCTGAGAAGTAACAGATAGAATTATCACAATAACAACAAAATCCGAGTGTTCATCTTGTATGCAAATGAACAGGATATACAAATTTTTTGTAAAACAAACAGAAATCTTTATTCACAAAAAGAAAACTCAAAACACATACCCATATATGATGACAGACAGCCTTCTCTCCAAGTTTTGCAACATGTAGTCTTGAAGTTTTTCTTCCTGCAGGAGAGATTACTTCATCACTAAATGCTAAACAAATTCTAGAAGGTCTGCTTCCTACAAAAACTAAAAGTAAAATGGTATAAAGAAAGCACCTGAATTCCAAACATCAACTTGCTTTCTTTTTCCAAAGGACAGCATCACCTTGTGGCCTCTGTTCTCTGATAGCATTAGTCAGCTATCCAATCTTATTGACACTAAAGTCTGGCCAGTAATGATATTCTAGTTCTGACTCAAGCTCAAAATATGCTGGAATATACTTATTGGCAGGAGACATCATCATCTAGCTAAAGAACAAAGGGTTAAGGTGACTAGACTAAGACAATATTATATAGACATTATAGACAACATGTTGCTGCCATGATAGTGCAGAATCTAAATAATCAATAATTTCTAAAAAATTAAACCACTATAGATGATAGAGAACATGGTATGCCTGCACACCACACTTCATCAGCCCCTTGACCTGTATCAAAGATATTTTATATTTAATAAAAGTGTTTTATGACATCCCAACAATTGTATTTATTACTTCCTTTATAAGTCATCCTAAAATCAGTCAATGAGAAGGGTATTTTGATTTCTTCAAACAAAATTCCACACTAATAAAATATTATTTTTTATGTTAATTCTAATCTTTCTACAGCAAATGTAATGAAATACAAAATTCAGAACTATTCTGTTTATAAAAGACCACCTGTAATTATATCATCAGTTTTTTGTAATTATTTTACTTAGAAAAGCAACAGATAGCCATTCTTTGTGAAAAATGGAACAGTATTAGAAAGCATATCTTGCAAAGAGAAGTGGAAATATCTAAATATTTGTTGAAGCATGCTTTCATGGAAGAGTGGTGTAGAGCAATGGTTTAAGAATGAGACAAATATATATATATATATATCTTTATATAAATAACGTGTAAAAAGTGGATCATAATTTTTTTTACCATTTTCTGCACAAAATGTCCTGCATATGTCAAAATTTGCAAATGAACAGGGTTTTTTTCAATGTTGAATACTTAATAAATAAATCAAGACTTTTTTTTGTAAAACTTAAGTAAATTTTGATTTATAGAATTTATAAGTCACAGTTATTCTATTATGTGTTGTAAAGACTGTATTCTTTTTTTTTCAGTGTTCCAAGGACATTGCAGGATTTGCTGTTATGTTTTTTATTGTCTTTTTTGCATATTCCCAACTTGGTTACTTGTTGTTTGGCTCCCAAGTTCATGGCTTTAGTAACATCATGAAGGCTACGTAAGTTAAATCCTAAAATAATTGTTTTTTTTTAATATTTGCCTTCACTGGAGGTAGAGAACTATAAACAAATTCAATTCAATTCAAATGTAACATAATTAATAATTAATACAGGGGTGAAATTCTCAACAAGAAATTGACAGTTCTCTAACATGCATACCACAGTGATTTTGCTCATAAGCAGTGTGTCCCTCTATGTTTTGCACATTTATAGCTGCACAGCAGTCTGGTAGATACTACACATTGAAAACCACAAGCCTCTTACAAGTGAAGTCAGTTGGTAATAGTTTTATCTAAAAGACATAAGTCTACAATTTTAACGATACCATATCCAAATGTAAGGCAGGAGTACAGTTTCCATCAGTTGCTTGAAAAAATTAATGTTCAGTTTTTAAAAAGAAATAAGTTTTTGGAAATTATGGAAACCGAAACTGCCTATGGGCAGAAAAGTAGTGCTCAGAGGAGTTTGTATTCTGCCCAGTGTAAAAAGAAAAATTAGAAGGAACATTGTTGCTAAGTGTAATTTATATTACAGTTTGCTAAAAATAAAAATAAAATGCATACAACCATTGTTTTGATGGTTTAATGAAACAAATATATGTCAAACTAGCAACTAAATTTAAAAACTTCATAATTGTAAACTTACCTCAAATGTCTTTTTTCCCCCTTGCATTCTAATGTCAGGGATGGATACCAATCACAGCACATCAGCCAATAAAATGCATCATTTAGATATATTTATCATCATCATTGACCAATCATACAAATCAAACAGTAAGGTGAGATTACCCAATTGGTTTAGTAATGATTGACCTCAAATTTGCCAAATAACTTCTCCTTGTGATTTTGTTACTAACAAGAACTAATGCCGTAAGGTCATTTATTGGTTCATTTGAAGAGTATTTAATGATTGTTCAGATTCTGTGAATCATGATGTGTCTGCTTTCTGACAGTAAGATAGGACACATGCAGGTTGAATGAAAAGCAGATCAAATAAGTCCCATTACTGAGTACCAGCAGATTTTCAATTCTGATTAATTTAAGTTATGAAGTATGAAAAATACCTGATGTGTCTTCTTTTTTTCTGAAAGAAAATTTCGAGTATAAATGTAATAATATAATTTTGAATCTATATTGCATTGAGGAACAAGCTGATTGCAAAATTATAACAGTATTCAAACGTTTTGGGTAAAATGTTAAGGTAATTGTGAGACTTAATTAGAAAATGCATTAACTTTTCTTCTGAATAAATGAAAATATGCCTATCAACGTTTAATTGTTATGATTTCAACACAGTGAGTTTAGTGTAACATTAGAATCTTTCATTGTTGGGAGTTCTGAGATAAAAAATTTATGGAATAGTGCAGAAATGTTTTATTAAATTACTAACTTTAATTAAATACTGTGCACGAATTTATGTAAACCAATTAGTATATCTTGTTGTAAAGAATATTTCAAAGTTCTGAACTAAATCTTTGTTTTCTGGAATGCTGACACATGGCAACTAAAATTAAAAATAGATTTGACTTCACTAGAGTTATTTAAATATTTCTCTATGTTCATGCAAAATTAAAATTGTTTCAGAGATTATGCTAGAATATTTAAGTTTCTAAACTCACGTATCATTATTTAATAAATATTATGTCGTATGAGTATACCAAGATTTCAGTGAAGTAACTTTGTAGGCAAATGATGTGTTAAATTTTTCTTTATTTTTCATAGCTTTACTCTACTACGAGTGATTCTGGGTGATTTTGACTTTAATGAAATTGAATCAGCCAACAGACTTCTTGGTCCTATATATTTTCTCAGCTATGTATTTTTCGTTTTCTTTGTTCTGATGGTGAGTACATTACCAAAGTTAACAATATTAATACCACAGATCTTTCAAACAAAGAATTCTGATTTATTTCTAATTCCTTGTGTTTTATTTTCATATTTTTGTATTTCATTTGGGTGATCATCACTTGTGCTTTTTTGCAGAAAACATGTCTAACTGTATGATTCATTATCTCATGGTGGCAACTTTAGCAATCTAGCAGTTATAACCTTTCAACATCAGAAACTTCTGGACTAATTCAATAAGATTCTAAGTCTTATTACATTTAAGAAAGCAAAACAAAGTATGACTCACTTTTTGTACTAATATGTAGAAATCTTTTTATTAAAAATAATATATATATATTTTCCACAACAATTGGGCTTATCATTCAATTTCTATGTTTTATTTATTGAATAACAATGATATGTTCATAAAGAAGTACCATGTTAGTAGAGTAATAAATGTGATTGATTTTAATTTTACTTAAAATTTTGTTTTTCAATTTTCAAGTTGTTTATAACTTGATACAAATGCCATTCAAAAACTATTATGATTAGTGCTAAAATAGAAGTGTATATCTTCCTAGAATATGTTCTTGGCCATCATCAATGACACATATGCTGAAGTCAAGTCAGAAATTGCCAACCGAAAGAGTGAGTTTGAAATTGGAGAATATTTTTTACAGGTGAGATTAACTTTCATATCCATTTTTCCCTTAAATTCCTATAATTTAAGTATATTCTTTTATAACTTCAGTAACAAATACCCAAAAGAATTGGTTTGAATAAACTGTATCCTCAGGCTGTTAATTAACAGGCTCTCTTTTATCTAGAGGCTGCATTCTTCATCTATACCCCAGATAATAATGTAAGTTAGTTTAAAGTATTGAAAACCCTGTCCCATTCATCTAAATCACATTTAATAAACTTGAAACTATCCCTCTACAAATCTGGATTCTCATCCATTCACACGTGTCTGAATCCACTTTATGGTGGAATTGATATAGTTTCATGCACTTGTTAAGTATGTTGAAATTTTTACAGGTTTGATTCTATCCTAAAACCTGAAAAAATTGTAATCTACATTCCATTTTTAATGTATATTTCAACTAAATATGTGAGTAAGGTTTATTAATAAGCTTTCATAACAGATTCTTCGTGTAAAAAGGTAAAAACAAAATGCCTAAACACAACGATTTGCTTGACTTATCAACACTGGGTACAGTCAAGCAAGCAAAAAACGTGTATCAAAAAGAACAAATTGTACTGAGTGCTATTATTTGTTAATTTTTTATGAAATAAACATTTTGTAATAAGCAGCTGAGTTTGATTAACTCATAGCATTTATATATATACATAAATGGATTTGTGCATGCATTTTCTTTGTACTGTCAACTATACCCCATCCATAGTACTTATGTAAAAATAATCATATTGAAGTAGAACCTTAAAAAACCTTCACACACAAATATGTTGTGAAGGGGACTTCTAAGTTTTTCTTCTTTTTTTATCTTACATTTGGGTTAAGATTTTGCCAGATTAGTATTTTAGTCTACAAACAGCCTTAACCCTTACAGTTAGTTCACTAAAAAATTAACACAACTTTGATTTTTTTTCTCAACATGTATATGTGAAATGTTCATCCTTTGTTCCTTTTACTAATGCTTATCATAGACTCACAGTAATTTCTTGTAAACTTCTGAGTTTCTTTAGTTGCAAATTTTATGAATCTTTGAAATAAAAAAACTTAGAAAAAAAAATTATTTCACTCAATTTGATGTAAAGGACCAGCACTTGGTTGTAAAAAGGGACTCAGTGCTAAAACTGACAGAAAATAAATAAATTATATACAGTGTTAATTTCCGTCTTCAGTATTTTATGCAAAAATTAAAAAATGTTTAGTGAATGAAAAAAAGTCTTTACGTGGTATTCACAGGAAAAATAGAACTGAGAGATGAGCCAAAGGCTATTGCAATAGCAAGAGATTTAAAAGAAATCATTTGTGAGAATATTTAAGTAAAACTTAATCAGCAAAATAGGCCTTCACATTATAATGCTCCCACGGCTGAAATGGTGAGCGTGTTTGGTGGGATGGAGATTCAAATTACTAACCCAGGACCTGCAGATTGTGAGTCGAGCTCACTAAACACCTGGCCAAGTTATAAATAATTTTCATATTCCAAGTTCTTAGACTATGAATCAAAATTTTTTTTTATTGTGCAACTTTGAGCATAACAAGACAAATTGAACTTCATCACAATAATTAACATTAAAGTTGTTGGTTTTTCTTCATTGAAAAAATAGTTTCATTATGTTTTAAATGAGTTTAACTTTGTAATAAATACTTATTACTAGCTCACTTTTAATTAATTTTCTGAAACGATTATTAACATGTCAAAAAATAAAATATGAATACAAGTTCACAATAACATACTATTATTCTAACTAAAGAGTAGATCAGCTTATAAGACATTTAATGTGATTTAAAATAAATATATTTCCTATTTTTGTTTCTTCATTTATTGTTTAAACATTACTTTTTTATTTTCTTCTTTAGAGCTACAAAAACTTGGTGAGTAAGATGGGGAAACGAGATAAAATTGCTGAAATTCAAAATGCAATGAAACAAACCAATGAAGATAAATTTTCATATGATGAAATTCGTAAGACTTTGAAGAGGTATGTTGGTTATATATATATATATTTTTTGTAAGAGTAAAATCATTGTGAACTTTCAAAGATTTTCTTTAACATAAAATTACTTGATATAAAAGTATAAAAAATTTATATAAAAATTATCACTCAACTGCTTTTAGTCCATAAATTACTTTAAAGCTAGTACTTCTTTATTTTTATTTGTGTGAGCAAAAACTGCTAAGTTAAGGATTATATAATTGCTCACACTTTTGCAATAATTGTATGAAGATGATAATGAATGATTTATATTAATTATTTTAACACACATTGTAAATTTTCCAAAAGTTAATATAAAATTAACTTTTTGAGGTTTTTAAAATGCTGTTAAAAATTAATAATTTAGTTGTTTTCTAAAATTTGCTTATGATTTCTTTAGACTGTATTTTTTAAGTTGAAATTATATGCTGTATAAATAATTCAAATGTGTTAATTATACTATACATATTTCCAATCCCTAAGGTCAGTAAGAAGTTTAATTTTTTGTTATAGTTACTTTTTCATAGAACATTAATGCTAATATATGCAGTAATGTTTACATTGCTGTTTATCAGTGCATGCTCACTTTGATACTAAAATTAAAAAGGAAAGAGAGTAATATAGTTTTAAAATGTATAGATATTAACAGTAAATATTTAATTAAATGCTATCTTAATCCTACAATGAATACCATAAACTTTACTTTTCATAAGTATGTAAAATAGTTGTTTAAATAAAATAATAAAAATACAATTGAAAAACAATTATAATTTTGTTTTACAGACAAAATTTTACTGATATCGAAATTGAGATGATTTTTTCCAAGTATGATCTGGATGGTAATAGAGAACTTGATAACACTCAAATGAAACGGATGCTTGCAGATCTGGAAGGTCAAAAGCATTTGCTTGATAAGGATATACAAAATGTAAAACAGAAAACTGCTGCAGAGACCTCTGGAGGAGGAGAGGGTGTTGCTCTGGTTGAATACAATGTGTATGTTTATTTCCTTTTTTCTCCTGAAGAATTTGACCACAGAGTTTTATTGATATGATATATAAAGATAGTTCTTAATTTTCATTCTAAAATAAACTATATTGTTTCATATATTGAGATGTGATCTTAATGCTCCTAATCCAAAATATATTAGTATAAACAAATGAAATGAAACAACTTAAATGTGATACCAACGTTTCAAGATTATAGAAGTAATATTACAAGCAATGTAGCAAGAAAGGGGAGAAGAGAATGCATTTTATTATGGAAAATTCAATGGCTTTCATCCACACATTCAAGCTTGTTTGGAGATGACATTTAGATCTGCTACTCCAAGTAATTTTATAACTTATGTCATGCCTGCACTAGCAGACTGAAGAGAAGAATGGTTCTTAGATGGTTCATATTTTTCTCTAAGTTTTCTTTAAAAAATCCAGCCTTATCAAGGAAAATTGCATAAAAGAGTTAAAAAAGTGAACTATGAAGTGCAGTTCGATTCAAAAGAAGTATATTATTTAACTACTGTTACTAGAAATTGTGTACTTTTGTGCATTACCATGTACTTTATACAATTTACATTACATTTTTTATTTAAGTATTTGAGGATTCTGATATCTTTAATGGAAAATTTTACATGAAATTTTACGCATAATTTCTTAACTTTTTTGAAGATTATCCCAAAGGGTTGATCGAATGGAACATTCCATTGGAAGTATTGTGTCAAAGGTTGATGCTGTCTTGATGAAAATGAATGGAATGGAGCAAGCCAAAGCAAAACGGCGAGAAAATGTCAGTAAAATTCTAGACACTATATCAGAGGTAAATGAAGAGAATGGTTGAAAGCTATTGACAGAGTAAATTGAAATATTATTAATATTTCCTACACTAATTTCTGATGAAAAAAAAAAGCCTAAAAGGCTTGGTCTCTCTTTTGTTTAGTTCATTCCGTTGTAATGGACCAGTTTTGCAGAATATCCACTCATCAGTAACACTGGGCTAGGCAGTAGTTGAAGATAATTCCTTACTTAACCCAATGTGCATGGGTGGAAGATAAATCATCCATGCCATTACCTTTTGCAGAGTGTCATTCAGCATGGTATTATGTATTTTATGTCAGAGTTATCAGTTATTCATTTCACCCTATATTGTTGATTTAGTGATAGTCTATGGTGGAGGAGAGTAAATACCAGACACAATTTAAAGAGATACTGAAAAAAACTGTAAATATGTACTTAGGAGGTCCTAGAGGTTATCCAAATGCTATATGTAAGCTGTAAGATGAAAAAAAAAGTATCCTTATTCTTGTCATGAACATCACTTTTCACACTGACTTGTCAGAATCAGACTAACATTGTCAATTCACAGACATATTTTGGCATGGCATGGCCAGGTGGTTAGGGCACTCAACTCGCAATCTGTGGGTCATGGGTTTGAATCCCGTCACACCAAACATGCTTGCCCTTTGAACCGTGGGGGTGTTATAATGTGATGGTTAATCCCACTATTCATTGGTAAAAGAGTAGCCCAAGAGTTGGCAGTGGGTGGTGATGACTAGCTGCCTTCCCTCTAGTCTTACACTGCTAAATTAGGGATGGTTAGCACAGATGTGTGTAGCTTTGTGCGAAATTCAAATCAAACAAACAGACATATTTTGATTACATGTGTAGAACAGACTTGTACATTTTACTAAAAGCTTGCCACATTTTATGTAGATATCCTTAGTAAATTCAGAATTATAGTCAAGATTCCTTTTCCAGTATGAGGCTGGTCTAATGGACCAACCTCATGCAAATTCAGTTAATATGGTAGCTATAGGGGGCAGTTACCTTGAGCTGGGTGAAAACAAGAAACATTTTTTATTATCACTTTGGTTGCATTTATAAGGTAACATTTTTGGGTATTATTCAATTTTGAGCCAAATAATTAGCAGATTGGAAGGTTCAATGTTTATGGCATGATAGCCTTGTATGAACACAGACTGAATTTTCAAGTGATAATCCATCCAAATACTTGGTTTAAAGTTGAATAAAGACTTTGTAACAATAGGATCTGACTGACTGTCTTCCCTCTGGCCAGTAGTTCAAAATTAGGGACAGCTAACCTGAGCCTTGAAGATCTCTGACCTTGCCAGTCTGGCTCATTTGGCACTTAATGGTCATTCAGGTTGAAAGTACCATACCAGTCATTAAATTTTTTTTCAGAGAGGGTAAAGAATAAATCACAAAAGTATGTTTGTAGAAATGGGTAAGCCATTATATCCTTTTTAGCTGTAGAAAATTTGCATGTAGGTGTAATGCAATATAAGTTGTAATTTTTGCATTCTATTCTTTTGGGTAGTTTCAACATTTCATGAAGGATTAAAGTATTCCCTATTATTTGAAAGTAAATAATATGAATTTTGAATCAGTAGTGTTCAGTTTTAAAAACAGATAAAACATGACACACACAGCTCGGACGAAAAGGTAACTCTTCCTGATATAGCTGGTAGTATTAAAAATTTAGTTATCCAGGCTTATTGTTTATGAGGTTTTGTGAGAGATTATTGTCATAGATTACGGAAAAAGAGGCATTAAATGTACTAGCAAATAGGCTAAAAGTAGAAAGCAGTAAACTGGAGATTTATATGAAGAATATGCATTTGTCTTGTAAAAAGTTGGAATTAAAGTAGAAGATGGTAAAGAGGCCTGCATTAAGTATGAGAAAAAGACATTGAAAATACATCAGCTGAGATAGCGAAATAATTTGAAAGATTTAACAGTGATGGTAGGTGACTTATGAGTGAAACAATTGAGTAGAAAAATTGAGAATAAAATTTATTGAATATTTGATAAAGAAAAGGAGTGTATCTGATGTACATATTGGCAGAAGAGTAGCATTGGACTTTTAGTAAGTTTGAGAAATTGGAAAAGGCAATCTTACAGTGGGAGGAAAATAAGTAGTAAGTCTCAGTATCCCAAGCTTACACTAGTGTTTTCAAACTAAGCTTTATCTACTGAGCTAGTAGCTTTTTCAAATTCCTAATAGACAATTTCCTCATAAAAGAAACTTAACTTTTCATTGTTTCAATAAAAATATACTATAATGCAAATGTTTAAAACAAATGTAAATAACTATTTAAACTGAATTTATTGCTTAATGTGATTCTATTAAGTATATATTGTGTAAAAAATATCTATAAATAATACAAAAATAATTGTGGCATACTTTATAAATATTAAATTTGTGATTTTAATTTTTCTAAAAGTTTATAAATTCGTCATTTTTTCATAAATTATGAAAAAAATGGAGTGTTATGTCTACAAACCATAATTTCTCAGAATGATGGACTGGATGAAAAGGCTAAACGACAGGAAATGGAGAAAATAGTACGAGAAGAACTACAACACTTGGACTCGGAGACCACAATGAATTTGCCTCATCATTCTGTAAGATTATTTAATTTCCATTAGATGATCAAAAAAGTGAACTTTAATTATTATAATCTTTAGAAATCTCACTATCACCATTTAAAGTATCAGGTCAGTTTGTTGAATATATTAAAGTTTAACCTCTGTAGTTTCTTATAGTAAGCAGCTTTTTCAAGCTAATTCTTTAGTTATAAGTTACAGTAACAATTGATTCATGTACTACTCATTTTTCCATTTGCAGAAGTCAAATTTTAGGCATTCTTTTTTACTTTATTAAATGCTTTTTGAGTATGGTCATAGGTTTATTATGAAGCCATTTCATGTGTTTTTGTTTGTTAAATGCACAAGTTTTCAAGTTTTGCATCCAATGATTTGCATTATTTTCAAAATTTACTTTGGTGAGTGAAAATAATAACTGAACGAGTTTGAGTAGTTGATTTTAGTGTTTCGTTAAACAGGTTTTATGTCTGACTATTTTTTATTTTGATTATGTGATATTATATTACAGTTAACTTAAGATGAGTATTTATCATTGAAGAAGATAAGCATATATAGTTGTTTTTTGAAATAATTTTTTAAACCAAGGTATCCATTCATTTCTGCATTTTCTCCATGATTTTTAGGCTAGACGTAACAGAAATTAGCCTAACCTGCCCAGGAAGACTAAGAGGTATAAAAGGGCTTGTACTTCACTGAACATATTTATAGAGAAAAATCACTTATTATTAGCAGAGATCATTTTGTGTGAGTTAGTTTCACTTTTTAGTGGCATATCATATTTCAAGTAACACAAAAAGATGAGCTCTTATCCCAGATTTGAATCCAAATATACTAAAAACTAAAGTGTTTTGTCAAAATGTTACAAACTACATCTAACTAAACCATAAGGTAATATTAAATTGGTTTTGAGAGCAAAATGAAATGAGTTTTTTTTTGGAGTTTAGCATGAATAGCTTAATTTCTTTCTCATGAAAATTATAAAATATTTTCTGAATTAAATAAAAATAATCTTCTCAAACTATGTTTATTTCTTATATGAATAATAAGCAATACAAACATGTCATATGATGTAAACCTTACTTTTTTTGAAATATTCATTTACCTGTGATACATTCAATGAACAATATCCTATATAACTGTGTGTATATAAATATATATCTGTGTGTGTGTGTTAAAATACAGGTTATAATGCTAAAATTTAGGGTTTGATTTGATCCAGTTGTGACAGAGTGGGAATAGTCTATTGTATGGCTTTGCACTAAAACAAACTATATCCAGGATTTATAATGGCACAGTTAAAAGGGCTTAAAACTATGTACTGTATGTAAGTTTCTAGTATTGTGTGGAAATCTATTTACGATACTCTGTTCTTGGGAATGCTAAAACTATCTTGATAAGCATTACATAATATGATATGAAAAAACCTGTCACTGTCAAAATTGCATTGAAAATGTTACTTGCATAATTTAGAACCAAAGATTTAAATGCTTTATCTAAATTTTAATTGTTAGTATTGTTTAATTGTATTTATTTTTCATAATTATACTCTACATTTAGTTGTATGTCTTGTATCTTAGCACTGTAAATAATAACTGTGTAAAGTAAGATAATCTAAAGTCATGCTGTTGTTCCTTTACATGAAATGTTGGCCTGCAAACTGCTGATAAAGGATTGTTAATAGATAAAGAGTTGTTTATCCTCAAGTAATTCTTGGACAGTTTAGTTTAAAGAATAAGAATCAATTATAATAAAGTTACATGAGAAAAAAATGGTTCAAATTTCATATCATGTGATTACTTCACAGTTAAATAAAGCTGTTATTTTTATTAAACACTAAATAAGCTGTAATGGACTTATGAAAAAAACTCTACAAATATTATAAGGTACATTAGAAATTAGTATTTTTATTCTTTGGATATTTAAGAAACTGAAATAAATAGCTAATAAGAAGTTGTTTCAACTTATACAGTTTTTAACTCCATTAACATTATTTCATTCTGGGGTTCAAAGTGACCTTTTGTAAATTTTATGAAATGATAAATTTAGATTTATCAGTGCGAATTATTACTAGATCATTAAATGTTTTTGCAATATAGTGGAAGTAGAATTAAACAAGTTAGTAAAGAATGATTTATCAAGGTATATGCCATTTTTGAATTGAAATGCAATAAATCTAAATTTATTTGTATAAGAAGTTTTGTAATGACAGTTTACTATAATTAATAGAGCAACACATAAATAAATGCAAGAATATTATCCTACTAATGACAATACTCAAGTTTAATAAATCTCCACCATAAGTTGCAGTTAACCACATACTGTACATGCTTATACATTATTTGATACTTTTTATAACTAAAAAATATGCTCTCTGAAATATAATTGAATAAAAAGAAAGCATTTAATTTGTAATCGTTGTGACAAGTAACATTATTTATACAATACTTAAAAGGTTAAAAACTTTCTTCTTTTTAAATTTTACAGAAAAAAATACACATTATGTTTTATGTAGTAGTTGATTTGATCAATCCTAAACAAAGTTGGAAAAGATTTTGAATGAAAAACTTTAATCATTAAGAATAATAAAGTAAATAAAGATGGAATTTAAGGTTGTTTTTTTTTTTCTAAACTGCTTTTCTTCTGTATAAGAGTTGTTTAATAGTTTGGTTCATAGCTGCTTAAGTTATACACATATTGTTCATTTTTATGAATGCAAATTACATTTCACATACTGATGTATTTCCATAAAATCTGCTACGTTGTTTTTTAATAGAATATAGTTTTTTACAGTATATGATACTGTTATAAGCTTTGTAGTGTTAGTTTATAATTGTACATTTCTTAAGATATTCAGGTTATTTGAATTGTTTGTGTGAATAAAGATATTGTGCACATGCAGTATTGTTTGAAGTTAATGTTTGTTTTTAATATTCTGTTTATTGTAAGAAAGTGAATAACAGGAAGAAACAAATGCAATGGGTAGGGGGGGAATGTTTTAGTTTAAATGATATTTATCAAAAACAACTTTATAAAATAAAATCAAAGCAAAAATTGTAACAAAATAAGGACAATTCATATTGGCTTGATTGTTGTTTAAAATTATGGAATAATATTGTATAGGAACATACAATATGGAACACATGTGTATATATATTTGATAAAATAAGTATATATTTGGAACTGTAAGATTCATAAGCAATGAATACAAGTAATATATTTTAGTCTCTTGTTATTTCATTACTGTGCCATTACACAAATTATGCAACACTGTATCAGTGTGTCAAGAATAAGTATGTAAGTTATTTAAAATTCAATTATAGTTGCTAAAATTAACTTTAATAACATGAAATAAAAAAGAACATGAGGGAAGCCAAACACAAAGGATAAACAGAATAATTTATTTCTTCAGCTTATGGGTGTTGTAAAAAAAATAATGTATGCTTTCCAAAGTGTTTAACAGATATGGAACTCTTTTTGTTTTTCAACTGTAAGTGAGAATTGTTTTTTTAATAGGTTTCCACATTCTTTGAAAAAAACTGTGTTTGAAGATTTGATTCTTTTTCCATTATTTTTGTCTTAAGAAATAAGTATAAGTTAGGCTCTGACACATTTCTGCTTTACACTATCATGAAAAAACCATTCTAAACCATTTTTTTAGTTTTGCCCAATTTTCACTTATTAAAGAAACTACTGTAATAAAAAAATCTGGCTCTTTCCTACTTTGTGCCCTTATTAAAAAAAAATAAAATTTGTTGAATTAAGATCTTGCTGTTCTTCATTTTTTGTATATTTGGAGAAACCATTGTAGCCCAGGATCTGTTTTCTTATACCTTTCATGTTTAAATAAACCACTATACTCAAAAACTTTGTGCTTTTCCACCTTTTGCCTCTGGGGAAAATCATTGAAGCCAGAATCTGTTTGTTCTTTAGCTTTAAACATTTTAGAAGAAGCATTTTAATCTATGATCTGTTCCTTATGTATGTCCCAATTTCTTATTTAAATCACTGGTGATCTCTCCCTCAACGATATTTTCATACAAATATATAGCATAATCCCCCAGTGGGTCAGTAGTAAGTTTATGGACTTCCAATGTTTTTAATAGGGGGTTTGATTGCCCATGGTGGGCAGAGCACAGAAAGTCTATTGTGTAGCTTTGAGCTAAAACAAACACTAAGCATATTAAGGTTTATTTAACCATAGCACCAATGTATTATTAGTATTTGTTGTGTATTGGGTTAGGAGTTATTAGTAGTTCTTTGAAATATATTATTTATTTCGGTGATAAAGCTAATTTCCATGTGACATACTAGGGAGATATACCCGAGATTTTCCTAATTGTTTGTAGTGTGTCAGTTTAAGTCAATGAAAAGTTCCTTTCTAGCAATTGCTAGTGTGTTAGTTCTTTTAGCTCTGTCAACAGAGCACTCACTTGCAGTGCAAACAGTCTTGGGTTGATATCCTGCACATGGAAGATGCAAAAATTGAAATTACCACAGAGAGAAACAAAAGTTTATTACATCTAAACTAAAGCTTTTGTGCTCATAGATGAGGTTACAGTATCTCAAATGAACAATGTACAATATAATGTGTTAGAACACTTGATTTTATGTATCAGAGTAAATCTACCTATTGATTTAAGAATATCAGGATTTATGTTGCTGTTATTGTTTCATGATTAGGAGTTACAATAATGGAAATAATTATGGAAACAGTGAATGAAATAGGTAAGGTATAAAATTGCAATGTTATGGGATAGCTCTGCCACTATAGAAAACATTCAGATAATGCCATATCAATATAATGCCTATGAAAGTACGGGCTATCACATTTCCAGCAGCATCAGTGAGGTAAAAGCACTCTTGGTTCCTAGGACAGAAAGGATACATGAAAATGCATAGAAATCAAAGTTTTGGCTCTTGAAGGCAACTGCTTGTGACAAGTTGTGTGAAATTTCATGTTTTAGTAGGATCTGTGTGGAAACTGTGAAGAGGATACCTGAAACTAGTACTGTTGGTAAAAGAAGTGGTCGAGGCAGAAAGTCCAAACTCTTCAAAAGTGATTTTAAGAAACTCCAGGTATGCTCTTTATGTGAGGTATGACAATCTTGTGTAGATCTTGTTAGTGACCCAACTGTAAGTACAACTCCAGAACAGAAGATACACATTAGAACAAAGTAGTTTCATTAGATGTGTAAGTGAAATAAACTACTGGTTAAGAGAAATAACCAAACTCAGAATTCAAATAATGGGAGGAGCAAAGCTTTACAGGTGAATCCAGATTCAAATTGTTTGACAATAATAAATGATAGTTTGCTGAGTGGCAGTGAAAAGAATGTTACCATGGTCAATGCACAATGTTTACAGTGAAGTATACTGGGGGACCAGCTGTGTTGGAGAACTACATAAAACTGATGACACCCTCAGTTCTGGTAGGTACATTATTTTCATGATTATGAGAGCTGTTCATATTAGGTGCTCTGGGACGGAGCTCCAGCCAGGAACATGATTGCAAGAGGTGTTCAGTTAGATGTTTGGAGGCAGAGTCCCAGCCAGCAACACATTTACTCATTTATAATTTCTATAAGATGACAAGAAGCAACATGTTACATGACTAATTTAGGTTCTAAACATTTTAATTATTTATGAACTACAGAAAATCACCTTAATTATGGAATACAATACACAAACTATTCCTTTCTCTTCTAGGCACACAAAGTGAAATCTACATACATCTTCCTCAACCAGCACAACCTCGTCATACAAAATCAAAAACTTTATATGTAGAAGAGCATGCTTTTTTGACACTCAACCAATCGTAGTATGCTTTACTATAATTCGGTATTTTAAAGTGCACAAAACCATTTTTCACAATCTGAATAAAATATATATATAATTGTTACATTTTTTATTGATTTTAGCCCTTATTCTTATAAAGTCATATTATTCAGTAAATTCTTTATGAAACCGTCAAACCTCATCTGTGTCAATCACTTGGAATGGAGAGAGAGAGACCCATATGGATATTTCACTTTTATGTCAGACCAAAGACTTAGTGCAGTATCCTACAATCCTTAGCTTACCTACATCAACATACATTTCAAATAAACATATTGAATGGATTTAAACCCCTAACCTGTATTAATTTGTAGAAATCTCTGAACCACTTCTTGGAATGAGTATGAGTATGGCCTTATTCCATGAAGACATTACACGGAAACAGAGCTAAGCAAGTACAAGCATCTACATAATGCAATATAATTAATGCAAGTTTATGACCATCACACATCCGTTTTTACAAGGATGTTGCAACTACATGCAGAACATTAGAAAAACAATTTAGAAAAATTACCTGAATATATCTGAATATTTTATAGTAGGTATAGAACCAGCCTGGCATGGCCTGGTATTTAGAGAATCAACTTACAATATGCAAGCTGTGGGTTTGAATCTAGTCACCAGACATTCTCGCTCTTTCGACTGCTGGGATGTGATAACCAATCTTATTTTTCGTTGATAGCCAAAGAGTTGGAGGTAGGTAGCTATAACTAGCTGCATCCTCTAGTCTATCTCTTCAAAATTATGGATGGCTAGTGCAGATAGCCCTTTATTCACGAAATAAACAGTAAATAGGATAGTGAAATTATCAGTCCTATGAGTTGCAACTCATATAATGTGGTATGTCACAATATCATACGTTTGTTACCAACTTGTTTAATGTAATAATTGCCAAAAGTTTCGAATATGTAGGTGTGTGTAGTTTAACATCGAGCATCTATCAAGGAAATAGCTAAGTTCCTTTTATGCTAATTACTATTGTTCTGGTTCATTCACCTTAGATGCCACATACGTCTTCTCGCTGGAAAGATTTCTTTAAAGCTATACATACCATCCAAAATTAGACAGCAATATTTTTCATTGGCAGTTCAAGGGATCCCTCGAGGATATAACTTTCCTTATTTTTCAATGGAAATGCTCAACGTCATGTGAGTAACACGCGCGTCTTGAGAAGAACAGTGTTATTGTTTAGTGTCGTGTGTGTGTGTCTCTATATATAATGCTATGCTTTTTCTCCTTGGAACAACAACTATGAGTTGAATATTTTTTTCCTTTTTTGTTATACATTGTGTCCTTTATTTTTCATTTCTTTAAGCCTGGTGGTTATGGCGCTCGACTCGCAATCTGAGGGTAGCGGGTTCGAATCCCTATCACGGAACATGATCGCCCTTTCAACCACTGGGTTTTTATAATGTGACAGTCAATCTTACTATTCGTTGGTAAATGAGTAGCCCAAAAGTTGACGGTGGGTGGTGTTGAATGTGCCTTCCCTCTATTTCATCACTGCTGACGCAGATAATTCCTTTGTAGCTTTGCGCGAAATTCAAAACAAACCAAACAATTTCTTTAAACTAAGTTAAAGTTCAAGAAGTAAGACTTACTCCAACCATGATGACACTTAGGGGAAATGACTGCATACATCAGAATCCTTACCAAAGTCGTATTCATGAGTGGGTGGGGAACGTCACTGGAATCTTCAAAATACTCCGAGTTTGTTTCTCCAAGTTAAAGTTTATTTCCAGAATTGAGGTTACCAGACTAATAGAAATACTTTAAAACTCTAAGCCAGATAATACATGAATTTTTATCCCAGTTAGCTTCACTGTAATAATTTTTAATCATTAAATTGTCTTACCATGAAACAACTTATATATTTTTTGTAACTGTATTTATTATATACCTATTTTTATAGTTTTTGTTGAATGTTGCTATTTTTTGTAAGAACTTAATGAAATTTGATCACATATATGGGATA